TATCATTAGAGATACAGCTTTTCACAGAATTAGTTCATTCCAATGAAAAGGAATTACTGTAATTAATCTTTTCTTTTGCAATGTTGGGGATCAACCCCAGGGCCTCCCACATGCTAGGCAAATGCTCTACCACTGAGCTACATCCCCAGCCCCCTATCTACTGTTTTAAACAAAACTCCTGTCCTTTTAAATGTTTACCATCACAGGGCCTGGTGGCACACACCTGGAATCCAGCGACACAGGAGGCTAAGGCAGGAGGATTGCAAATTCAAGGCCAGCCTCAGCAACTTAGCAAGACCCTCAGCAAATGAATGAGACCCTATCTCAAAATAAGAAACATAAAATATCCTTTGGGGAAGGGAAGGGAAGGGAACCGAAGACAGAGGCTAGAGAGGGAGTCCCCTGCCCTGCCAACTGAGGTAAGGATGTTGCAATCTGCCTTCTGACCCCTGCTCAAGAGCCTAGGAAATACCCAGTGGAGATAGCCTGAATTTGATGGAAAGACACTTTTTTTTTTTTTTTTTTTTTTGGTCTGTTTGTTTTCAGACGAACCCAGGGCCTTACAATGTAAGGCAAGCGCTCTGCCCCTGGCAAGTGACCTCTCTGAGCTGCATCCAAGTGACTTCTGCCCATGTCAACGGTCAGGAGTTTCTTTCTCATGTGGGTCTTAAATCTGCTTTTGGAACTCAGATTCTGCAGAGAACGTGGCTCCCCCAGGACAGCCCCGAGATGCGAGTGTTGAGGGCCTAGCTGTGGGCCTTCAGGGGAGGCCATGCCTACCTCCCGAGCCTGGGGTGCTCCTGGGTTGGAGGTGCCCCCGGAAAGGGCTTGGCAGGTACGAGTATTGCCCGCTCCGGGTCACCGCCAGTACTTCCTCCATCCTTCACTGTGGGTGGACCGAGCACAGATGGCCCTGTGCTTTCCTGGCTCTGGTTTACCAACCAGGGAGGCACAGAGGGTTAGGGAATGTAAGCGTTCGCCCACCCACCACGCCACGGAGACAGACCACTTGAGCCCACGCAGWCTCTCCTTCTTTCATGATGGACTCAGGGCCATTCTGAGATCCAGCCCTGAGGTTCACCTTCCCTTCCTCTCAAAGTCCTCCTGGGGACCAAGGGGACCTGCGTGGGCACTGGGATGGCAGCCGATGGGGCACATGGGGCAGTGGGCAGAAAGGGTGTTCAGGGTGTGAGGAGAGTCCAGGGCAGCCTGGGCCAGGCCGTGACCTGGGCAGCAGTTTACAGATGGGCACAGGAAGGCSGGAGCAAGGCAGCCCAGAGGTTCCCCTCCACCCTCCCTGCTCCCCAACTGTGAGGCCAGCTCAAACGGGAAGGGATCTGGCCCTAGGCTGTTGGGACCTTGGGGTCAAACTTCAATTCTGGCCTCTCACCTTTTACTTGCTCTCTGACTCTGGGCAGTTCCCCTCCTGGCTCCGGCTGTCAGGCTATAAAGTGGGAGTGCCCAGAGAGGAGAGGGCGGTGGGAAGGACTGGCTGCTGGGAGGTCGCTTGCCTGGGCATGACTCGGAGGCTCCAGAGGCCACTCCTTCCTAGGGCTCTTGCTCCTCACTGCTTGTGCCCAGGGCAGGTCTCTGCTGGGTGCTGGCTGGCCTGGATCTCCAAGGGAGGAGGCCTGCACCTGACACCTGGAGGCTGGTGAGCTTTGTACCGGGGTTTCACTTCCTGTGGCTCTTTCTTCTTAGTGACTACGGGGTTCCTTTTCAGGTAACAGGACACCGTTTCCTTTGAAAATAATTATTGGAGTAAAAAAGCCAATGTAAAGAAAAATCATTGAGGGGCTGGGCGGTGGCTCAGCGGCACAGCGCTAGCCTAGGTTCGATCCTCAGCACCACATAAAAATAAGTAAATAAAACCAAGGCATGCCGATCATCTACACCTAAAAAACGATATTAAAAAAAGAAAAATCATGAAGGACTTTACATGTGGCTGGGGATCTCCCACAGCAGTAGAGCACATGCCTAGCGTGAGTGAGGGCTTGGGTTCCATCCCAGGAGACAGAGAGAGAGAGATCTTCTTAGAAGAGATAAAAGGGTCCAAGATCGTTTATTCTGTTTGCAGAGTTAACTGCCCTGGCATCACACTGTTCCAGGAATAGTCATGAAGAAGACAAGGGCACCCTGTGCCCTAACAGCTCATGTTCTAGGGCAGGGGACCGGCAGGACAAAAGAGTGCGTAAGAGACACGGAAAGCGTGTTCAGTTTGCAAGAGGAAAACACGTGGAGATTGTCAGCAGTAGGTGATGTCTTTGTCCTCTCCAGCTACTGTAACAAGATAACACAGATTGGGTGGCTTAGAAATAACAGAGATTCATCCTCCACAGTTCTGGAAGCTTAGAAGTCTAAGGTCAACACATGGGAGATCCAGTCTGGGGAGGGCCTGCTGTCTCATAGATGGCATCTAGCTGTGTCCTCACAGAATGGAGGAGGAAGGGATCTCGGGCTTATTTATTTATTTTTAGTACCAGGGGCACTCTATCTTTACATCCCCAGCCCATTAAAAATTTTTATTTTGAGACAGAGTCTCGCTAAATTGCCCAGACTGGCCTTGAACTTGTGATCCTCCTGCCTCATCCGTCCAAGTGGAGTCTCTGGGGTTGCAGGCGAGTGCCACCGTGGCAGATCTCTTTTATAAGGGCTGTAATCCCATTCCTCAGGCCCCGTCCCCAACCACCTCCCAGTACTGCCATATGAATTCAGTGGGTGTGTGGGTGGTGGTAGGGGACAGTCATTCAGACAAGAGCAGATAGTCTTCAAAGCCACAGGACTGGTGACACTATCTGGGTAAAGAGCTCTATGGGGACAGAAGATCAAGAGCAGAGCATGGGCCCTCACAGCCTTTAGAGGTTGGGAGGGGAGCCAGCCACGAGGATGGGGAGGTGACCAGGAAGGATGAAGAAGTACTGGGCAGGTGAGGTGTCCAGGAAGCCAAGAGGAAGGAGCCCTAAAAGGAGGGAGTAGGCTGTGACAAACACGTCTGGAGGGCCCAGCAGGAAAAGGCCTGAGGCTCAGGCATTGGGTTCTTAACACAAACAACTGGGTAAAAGAATGCAGTTGAGGGCTGTGCCCTGGGTTCAATCCTTAGTACGGCATAAAAATGAATAAGTAAAATAAAGGCATGCTGTCCATCTACAACTACAAAAATAGAATTTTCATAATAATAAAACAGAATGCAGCTTTGTGGATGGGGAGGGGACCAGAGCCACTGGACGAGTTTTCAGGGAGAATGGGAGGAGAGAGTTGTGGTCAATTCTTTGARGACCTTTTTTTTTTTTTTTTTTTTTTTTTAAGTACCAAGGATTAAACCTAGGGGTGCTCAATCACTGGGCCACATCTGCAGCCCCCTTTATTTTCTATTTTGAGACAGGATCTCCAGAAGCTGTTTAGGGCCTCACTAAATTACAGAGGCTAGCCTTGAACTCAGGATCCTCCTGCCTCACCCTTACCAGTCGCGGGGATGACAGGCATGCACCACCACACCCGGCCCTCCTTCCTGGCCCTTCTTGGTGGAAGTCAGCCACATGGGAAGGAGAAAAGGGAGGGGTAACAAGGGGAGGGGTAACAAGGGGAGATTAGTTTTCCTGTTTGACAACAGGATCAGTGTCAAATTTGGATTTGACACAATGGGATCAGCCTGACCTGACTTTCTAATCAGCCTAATCAACAGTTTCACCTGGGATGGGGGTGATGGATTCTGGGCAGCTGTGTCAGGCTGACAGATCTGGGTTGCCCCGGTGATGCTGCGTGTGGACTGCGGGACATTCATCCGTGTTTCAGTCACAGCGCCTGGATGGGAAGGATTCAGGGAGAGGGGAGGGAGGCAGAAACGTTGACTTGAGGATTGGACCAACAATGCAAAGGGCCATCAGGGCCAGAGGCCTGGAGATGTCTGCCTGGTCTCAGGAGGGAGGGGGAGTGGGTGCCACTCAGCAGGTGGGGGTGAGAGCTGGTGGGATTTTCAAAGCGCATTTAGTGGGCACTTACTGTGTGCCAGCTCTCACAGCTGCAATGGGCCCCTGCTAGTCTGCTCGGGGAGAGGCTGGGGGGGGAGGAAGTAAAGACCACAGGATTGTGCATCCAACCCAGGAGGAAGCAAGTGGGGAGCGGAGCTTTCAAGAAAGTAGCTGAAAATCAGTACAACCCTGGGATGAAGTCCCTTCCCCCACCCCYACTCCCCATTTTGTTAAGGCCCAATCCTAAAATTCCAAATAAAACTCTGGGTCTTTTTGAAGAAAAGACAAAGGATTTCTTCTGGCCAGGGCCAGGGGAGCAGAAAGCASTCAGTTCTGCAGCCCAAGACACTGAATGCTGGTGGAGGGGCCATTCAACACAGAAATCCAACCAAGAAGGGGTGGGAGAGGAACACGTACAACCGTAAGTCATAAAGCGGAAAGTACCACTAACAGAACATTTTTAGAATTCACACTTCTAGTATCTACTCAGACAGCTCCATGGTTTAAAGACATTGTGGTCAGGGTGCAAGTGGGTGGGGTGCCAGCTTYTGTGCGAGTGGGTTCCTACAGGAAGGGGGCCAACTCCCAGAGCAGGGTGAGCTGTCTGAGCACCATGGAATCAGCCTGACTTTCTAATCAGTTTCACCTGGGGTGGGGGGTGATGGATTCTGGGCGGTGGTGTCAGGCTGACAGACCTGGGTTCCCGCGGTGATGCTGCTGGTGGACTGCGGGACATTCAAGTTACTGAACGCTCTGAGCCTCAGGCCTCCCGTCTGTTAAATGGGGAAAGGGGTTATAAACCCTGAGGTTGGCTCCGTACCTGTCGGGCGCAGGCCCGACCCTAAGGAGCGGGAAAGAGGTGCTGGCCCGCAGCCGGCCGCGGGCGTGAACCGACCCTGCAGCTGGGCACGGGACTGCCGGGCGGGGCGGGGCGGGGCGGGGCGGCGCTGACCCCGCCCAGGGCCGGGGGGTGGGGCGGCGCTGGCGCCCGCGGGGTTCCCGGCACTGCCCCGAGCAGCCTCTGGGGCCGGTGTCGGCTGCTCGCCTCCGCCGGAGCCCGAGGTACGAGGGGCCAGCGGGCGGGGTCCCGGGCTTGGTCCCGGCCCGGGCGGCTGCGAGGCGCCGGAGGGCTCGGCCGCCGCCCTGGCCACCTGTTCTAGAGGCGACGTTTGTGCGCACAGACACCCCGCGTGGAGGTCCCTGGCCACCTCCTTCACCCAACTGCGCCCGAAGTTGAGCGCGGCGGCGGGACCCTGAGCCCTGGTGGCGAGCGGAGAAGGTAGCAGCCCCCGGGAGCCCTCGCCCAGCCAGTTCCGCCGTGGGATGGGGCGCCCGGGGCGCGGAGCCCCGTCCGGAGCCGCTCACCCCGCCCTGCGCTGCGAYCTTGGGCGCGCCGGGTCCGGGGGTGCCGAGGGGTCCGGGGAGGCCGCGGCGGGGTGCGACCGCCGGAGGGCGAGGGAGCGGCCGGCTGGGGGGAGAGCTGCGGGGACGGCGGCGGCGCCCGCCCTGGGATGCGGAGGCTCGGGACGTGCGCGGGGAGGACCCTCCAGGTGGAGGAACCGCCTGGGTAAGGGCTGGGACCCCGGAAAGCAGCGGAACGCCCTCCTAGGCGGTGCGCTCGCCCCTCCAGTCTCCAGCTGGGAAACACCGAGGTCCCAGCGGAGCCCTGGTGGGCTGGAACGAGCTGCGCTGGAAGATCCGGTCCCCGGGTCCGCGCCGCCTCGCCGCTGGGCTGGACCTCCATGCCTCGGCTTCCTTTTCTGTCACTGGGGGGGGTGGGGGAGTGGTGGTGGTGAAGTTTCCACCTCCTTGGCAGATTCAGCTGAGTCTTTGGCTCTGAAAGAGCGCGTCCCCTGCACCCACTGGCACGGCCCTTTTGCCCTCCCTTCCCCCCAGCTCTGAGTGGTTCACTGTTCCCTGCCCTCCCTTTGGGGTCACTGAGAACCATTTATCCTCTCATTCATCAAATGCCCCAGCACCTGGCCTGTACCTCAGGCCTTCCTGTTCTCTCCTCCAGCCGCTGAAGGGTTTCTGCTTTGCCACCTTCCAAAGAACGAGGAAGCCACCCTGCTCAGGGACACAGAGCAGGGCCAAGAGTGGGCCAGGACTTCTACCCACTGTGCTGCCCCCCACCTGGTCTCCGTAGTCCCACCCCCAGCTCTTCAAACCTGATGGGGGTCCCTACCCCTGGTTTCCACCCTGTGCTTTCACAGCTGAAATCCCCTAAAGGAAAGTCCTCAAAGCAAAGAACAAAACAACAGGAAACCAGGGGCGAGGGGAGCTGTCCTTCTCCCAGGTGTCCTCCTTGTGCCCCAGGTGTGTGTCTGCACGGCTGCTAGGACAGCCCAGCATTAGAAGACAACCTCTGAAGTGCAGATTCTTCTCTTAAAAAAATGTGTTTTGTTTCCTTGTACCAGTTGCTCTCTGCAGCTGTCTAGGCTAATAGGAGTTTTCCCCTTGTGGGTTGGGTCAGGGCTGGTGAGTGACAGGGTTCACAGAACCATTAGAGGTGGCTTGTTTGGTTCATCAGGAGATTATGATCCACCTCACCAGCCCCAGCCAGCAACTCCTAAACACCCCTGGCCATCCGGACCTCCAAGGTCCCAGCATGGAGGTTGGCAGCAGGTGGATAACGTCACGTCACCAGCAGCACACCTCCCAAGCTCTGGAACACACTCCACCCCATTCTCCCCACTGCCTCCCTCTCAGGTACCTCCTAGATGTGCTCACAACTCCTGCTGATTACCCTGCATTTTGTTCCTCTCACTTGGGTCTTCCCCTCCTCACCTCCAAGGAGGAAGGAAACTTCTGGAGGGAAGGGACCTTGTCCAAATCCTGGTGTCCAAGTGCTCAGGCTGGTACCTAGTAGGTGCTCACTAAATGCTGCTTGAATGAATTAACTGAACAAAGTAGGGAGGAAAAATTCCACATTTGCATCWTTTGGAGCTGACTACTATTAAAATTGCTCCTTTTTTTGCCAGATTTTTTTTTATATTTGTTTTTTAGTTGTAGTTGGACTCAATATCTTTATTTTATTTATTTATTTTTAGGTGGTGCTGAGGATTGAACCCAGGGCCCCGCACTTGCTAGATGAGTGCTCTACTGCTGAGCCATAACCCCAACCTTTGCCAGAATTTTAAAAAACACCTTTTTCCATATTTAAATATCTTGTCTGTACAGTTGTTTTAATAGGATAATTTCATGAGCATTTCTCACCTGTCATTTTTGTATTTTTCAATTCTTACATTTTGTTACATCATATTTATTTGATGGATTGCCTTTGATATTTAGGTTTTTTCAATAAATATTTGGCTTTTTAAAYACTTCATTGAATTTATGCATGTACTTTTCATGGAAAGGAATTCATCTGCTAGTCTGTGATCTGAATGAACTTCTACAAGGCTGTGCCTCCAGCCAGCTGGCTCCRTGTGCGATTCCTGGGGCTGCGGGTGAGCGTTTTCACCATTTCCTAGAAATGGCATTTGTAGGTCAGTGGTCTGAGAACCTGGGGTCTTCCTGTGTTGCTTATCGATTTGCTTGAGCTCATCTGTCTGGTCTCCTGTGGTGAAGGGCTTTTCGCAGTGTGTGCTGGGGTTTTGCTCTACTTGTGTGTGCGCGTTTGTGAGGCTGTCTTGGCTGCATTAGCAGCGAGTGGGAAAGAGAGCGAGCAGAAGCCCTGGAAAAGGATGGGCAGGTCTGTAAATGGAGGTCCAGGGGATGCCCCAGAGGGACCTAAGGACCAGAGGCCAGGAGGGGGCTGAGCGGGCACTTGATGAGCAGGCTTTGGTCTCCTTAGAGGTCTCAGTGCAGTCTCAGCCCCCTTGATGCCAGCTGCCAGCGCTGAGCGGGGCCTTCCATGAGCCTCATCCCCTGAGCCCTCTTCCTTGGGAGGTAGCAGGTGTTAACATCCCTGTTGACAGGCTCCAGAGGGACGGGAAGTGCCCTGCACCCTGCCCGAGTCAGTCAATGAGTGGCAGGGCTGGGTTCAAAGTTCGTCCTGCGGACCGCAAGCCGTGCACTCTCAGCGCAGGGATTCCTCCGCGACCCTACACGTCTGGTGGGTTTTGGGGGAGTGGTGCCACTCTGCTGTTCTGGTATGTGGTGAGCAACCTCTCCTCTCCTCTCTGCCTCCTTTGTCTGCCTCTGGGCAGATGTCAGTGGGTCCAGGAGCTTCTCGCCGTGTGGAGTCGGCAGCAGGACCCAGGGAGCACCCTTCCTTTCCGTGCCAGTACCCGCATGCCCTCCCCTGTACCCACACTCACTCACCATGAGCCCATTCCAGCAGGAGCATCAAAGCAAATCTTAGCCCGCGGATGGAGCCGGACTTGAGTGGCAGAGCGCAGGCGTCGGACGCAGCCAACAGGCGCTCGCCCYGTGGGCAAAGCCTCTATTCGCTGCTTCTCGCAGATCTCTGGGGCTGCCCTCGGGTTGGGGGCATCCATGAACCCCCTGAGCCCCACTAAGGGCCAGGCACTGTTAGCCTCCGTGGTGCTAAACTCTTCCCTCCACTTGGCTCTTTATCCAATGACATGGAACCCTCTCCCCAGGAGAACCAAGCTGGGTGGACCCCTTTCACCTGGCAAAGGGCCTTCGAGCCCAGCTGCGGGGCTTCCCAGCTGTGCCTCGGCTTCTTCAGCTTTTTTTTTCTTTTCTTTTTTTTAATTTTTAAATTGTTTAATTGGGCCGGGCATGGTGGCACACACCTGCAACCCTAGCTACTGGGGAGGCTGRGGCAGAAGGATTGCAAGCTCAAGGACAGCCTGGGGAACTTAGTKAGACCCTGTCTGGAAATACAAATAAAAAGGGCTGGGGATGTGGCCCAGTTGTGTAGTGTCTTTAGGTTCCATCCGCAGCACTGAAGAAGAAATGTCTAATTGACTCACGGTGTCTGTACATATGATGGATGGTGACKTCATTCAGCACCTGTACACAGTGTGTAAGGATCAAATCGGAGCAATTAGCGCTGGCATTGCTTCAAACATTTATGCTTTCTGTGGGTTGGGAATCTTTGGACTCTTCTATTCCTTGTGAAATGTATCACAAACTGTTCTAGACCAGGGCTGTGCTATGTGCTGTGAACACCACGGGCATTCCCCTCTCTAACTTATTTTGGTCCTGGTTATCTACTTCCATCCCCTCCCCCTTCCCTTTCCTAGCCWCGAGTGACCTCTGTTCTTCCCACTTGCATGAGATGGACTGTCAGCTTCCACAAACGAGTGAGCACTGACGGTATTTGTCTTTCTAAACCTGGCTTACGTCACTTCCCATCATGTCCTCCAGTTCSTCATGTGGCTGCAGACCTGGACCCTTGCCTGGCTGTCGGTTAGCAGACCATTGTGAAGAATGGGAGTATCCAGTCACCATGATGCTGGGTGGCAGTCTATTTAGMTGCCTGTTATTTTATTTTATTTTTATTATTATTATTTGTTTTGGTACTGGGGATTGAGCCCAGGGGTGTTTAACCCTTGAGCCACATCCCACACCCTTTATGTTTTTTTTTTTTTTATTTTGAGACAGGGTCTTGGTAAACTGCTTAGGGCCTAAGTTGCCAAGGCTGGCTTTGATCTTGTGATCCTCCTGCCTCAGCCTCCTGAGCTGCTGGTGTTACAGGCATGTGCCACTGCACCTAGCTTCACACCTATTTTTAACCTTTAATACAGTAAGAAAAGGAGAAGGTGAAGCAATACATGAACTTTTTTTCAAGTAGAGCAAACTCGGGACTCTCCTAATTCAGGCTGAAAATTTTAGGTGCGCTTTGCATGGCGTTTCCCCACAGGTGTGCATTTGTCTGATGACGATCTTTGCCTGCTGCTTGCATCTCTACGATCTCTGGGCAGAGCAAGTGACAGAAGACTCATCTATGTGGCCACCAGAGCACTGTGTTATGCACCTGGCCATGTGCCTGGGTCCAGAGGGAATGGATAGGAGCCCAGATTCATGGTGACTATTTCTCCCTTATCTAGCATAAAGTCAGTGAGAGTGATTTCATCTTGCCCCTGGGAAGCCAACCACAGCCGCCTAATCTTTTTTGGYGGTACTGGGGATTGAACCCAGGAGCCCTCTACCTCTGAGCTACTTCCCCAGACCCTTTTATTTTTAATGTTTGTTTTAGATGTTGATGGACCTTTATTCATTTATTTATGTGTTGTGTTGGAGAATCGAACCCAGTGCGTCACGTTAGGCAAGCACCCGATCACTGAGCCACAACCCCACCCCTTCCCCCAGACCCTTTTTAAAAATATATTTTTTATTTTGAGACAGGGTCTTGCTAAGTTGCCC